GTTTAGACCCTAAATGCTTCGAAAAGTCTCTTGAAATTTTTACGGTCTTCACAGTATTCAGACGCGATGTGATACCGCAGAACGTTTGAAAAATTCTCTCCTTGCGATCATGCGGTTCGGATTCGTCATCACCCTCGCATGAAGCCAGTCCTTCATGCAGCGGTTCAGAATTTTTTTGCGCCTTCTCTACCAAAGGTTTTGTTTACTGCCCGTGAAGTGGTACCAGGAAACGTCAACTACGCATCCAGGGTTCAGACCTTCAGCTTTTCGACCCAAGATCTCAGCCAACCCTTCTCAACTAAAAGTGCTTCTTGAAGCCTAAACAGGGCCGATTCTGTTTTGGCCAAATCATGACGCTCTCTTGGTCATTGACTTTTCCTTACTTAGTAAGTTCGCTTAGTGTGAATATCTACTGTGAGGAAGTAAGAGTTAGTTTGAAAATTTTGCCATCGTGCTGATAAGTGAGGAGTGAACTGCAACCGCATCACTGCTCTCGCTGTTGTTTATGTACATGAACTGTTATCCCTGACATTCATCTCTCTGCAAGATGTCTCTTCTATGTAGTGCTCTAGAGAGATATAGGTACTGGACTTGTACTCAGCCTTGTAAACCGTTTCATGCTTCGCGCATAGAAGTGCGATGCGAAACCAAAATGAGTGATCTCATGGACAAGGCAATGAAATAATGGTTTTTCTCTAACCAGCCCTAATTAGGTGTAATTCTGGTATAAAATCAGAGTTGGTTACATCAGTACTGTCGAAAGGAATGAGTTATTCTTTCTGTCGTTATTACGAGTTATATGACTAATCGCACAGTCTTCTTGCGTTTAGGCACCTGGAGAGGGTCGTTTATCAGGCTATTGCTCCAACATGACACGACGGCATCACGGTATTAGCTCAACGGCATATATGTTGGTTTCATTCTGTTTTTCTTCATGCCGATACTTGCCTAGAAGCTGTCTTCCAAACAACTCTGGGTTCGTGTCTTGCGCATGTCAGTCGGTATACAGATAAATGCCTAAATGTAATGTAAGCCATGCCCAGTTGTCAGCTCGCTCGTGCCATATTGCTGCATAGAATACTGCATTCATGCTACCTTACGGGCTGACCGCTTGCCTCGCAGTTTGGGTTACTTAGCCAGGTAACTCCGGATAGTTTTTAGGATTATGGATCATGTAACATTTCTAAAATGTAATATACCACACGTCGTATTATCGTTATATAATCATCTCCTTGGCACCCGAACCCCCTGTTTTCCCTGACAGTTGCTGGCACTTTCAAAGAGTTGAGAAGAATGCTGCGCTTTCAGGGTCGCTATTTCTGCACTCAACTCACCTTGATAACTCAAAAAATAAACTGACCATCTAATGGCAAAGTTGTCTCGTTGTCTAGCTTTCCATTTCGCCCATTTACTTGTTATCTAATATGGTAATTCTTCGCTGTTTCAGGAATCGGAAACATACCAGATGCGGTTCTGTCACTGCTGAAAAATCACAAAAACCTCGGAGTACATACCGAGATGTTCTCGGATGGCGTTTTGCCCCTGATCGAGTGTGGGGCAATGACAAATTCTGAGAAGGTAATTCAGCCGGGCAAGTTAGTAAGCAGCTTCTCGTTGGGCAGCAAGTCGTTGTACGGCTGGATGGATAAAAATCCGATGCTGTACATGGGCGATGTTCAATGGGTGAACGATCCTAAATATATTCGCCTTAATCCGAAGGTGGCAGCTATTAATTCGTGCATTGAGATTGATATCACCGGTCAGATAGTTGCTGATTCAATCGGCACAAAAATGTACTCCGGTATCGGTGGCCAGATGGATTTCATGCGCGGAGCTGCAGTTGCCGAGGACGGAAAAGGCAAGCCAATCATGGCTTTACCGGCGGTGACCAAAAAGGGTGTCTCTAAAATAGTATCTACTGTCAAATCAGGTGCTGGTGTGGTCACTACCCGTGGCCATGTGCATTACGTCGTCACCGAGTATGGCATCGCCTACTTGTTCGGCAAGAACATGCGCCAACGAGCTTATGAACTGATTCGGATTGCGCATCCCGATCACAGAAAGCAATTGGAAAAAGAGTTCTTTGAACGCTTCCACTGCACCCCTTCTAAGGATTAGCCAGTGCATTAGATATGTTGATGGATTTTGTTTTTCTGTGTAGCGTAATAAAGGCGTGCACATTATTTTTGACTTCTGCACTAAGTTGTCATGGCAGTTAAGCATCCATATGGTAAATAAATTTCCATACACTGACGTAACTGAGTAGGTTAAAAAGCAGAGTCACTGTCAGACAAACAATATTTGAAGATGTATCGTTTTTTAATGAACATTACGTAACGATGTGAGAAAATCTGAACAGTCGAAAGTATATTCAGCGGCAAAAGTTGGTTCTGTTTTAATTTACTGTTTGACGTCAATGTGAAATTTAATTACACACAAAGCACAGCTACAAAGAGAAAACAAGGTGCAAAGAAGTATTTTCGTTCTGAAATAGCAGTTACTTATTTTCTATATGACAGACGCTAGCAAGCGATAGAGCGTCATCGTTTTACGAAAGACAGTAGAACTTTGTTAAAGATTGATCGTGGATTCATGTTTCGAAGTACTTAATTAAGCTGCACTATTTATGATTACAGGGATTTTGAATTCTGATGACGTCTGCAAAATCGGCTGAATGGTATACGATTAAAAGAATGCGATAGAATCAGCAAGGGGAAAATATTTGTATAATGGATCATTCGTGATAAGTTCGACTAAACCAGACTTCTGAATACGTCCGGATCGCTAAGGTACCGAATTAGGTCGGGCATAACTGAATGTTTAAGAGATTAAATCCTCGTGTATAGAGTCAAACTTGTTCGTCGCCTTCACATTTGATTTAGAGATGACCATCACAGCATGTAATCAATGAGTCGGATCGTCGAGAAACATTTTAGCGAATGCTAACTTATCACTGTTAACGATCGTTGATATTGAAGACCAGCTGCTTTGGCTGAAAGCCTCAGGCAGCGATATAAAACACTACAATCGTTGATCGTAAAAGTTCCGAAGAACCTTGGGTGCAGGATACATTGCAACAGAGGCTCCATATGCACACCAGAACTGCTAACGAAGCCAAATAGGTTCACCGATCGTCGTAATCTTGCAACGTCGATGGGGCGAAAGGTATCGTAACAACGAAGCATACTTTTCGCCCCTTCGATGTAACATCCTGAAGTTGGTTTGATCAAGATCCTGTAGAAAATGTAATGCATAATGGTGTTTACCCTCTCCTCCAGTGTATATTCGACTACTTTCAAAACACAATCAATGAAAACGCGTTTGGATGCTAAATGAAATAGAAAAACATGCCAATTTCGTAGTTATCTACTGCGGATATTTCTTATGTGTTGTAGATCAATGATATTACGTATATGTGGCTTCGAAGTAGAAGTAGTAGTAGCAAGATATTATAACATGTTTTAACTGATATTAAACATTCTGTTGAAACGTTTCTGCTGTTACGCCAAAGGCAATCGCTAATCCCCAAAGGAATTTGCCGCGCGGTGTAAATCAATCAATTTCCATTTCGTTAACTCGCCTCGATTTACTTCGCCTAGAGACTATTAGCGTGCAACAGACTAACAATTATAATATAACTAATTAAGTGCTAAGTGCGGATCATAACTTTAATATGAAAATTCATGCAGTTAGTATCCAAAATCTTGGTTCATTGTTAAGTTTCGACGCTATGTATTCATTTGTTTTTCTTGCAAAACAACCAGATAAGCAATTTAATTTAGACAGAGTATCT